CTGCCGAATTACTGACTCCAAAATACGAGAAGATCGGTGTGGTTTTTGGTCCGGCTGAAGTACATATGATCAGATTTTTGCGCTAAGCTAAACGCTTGAGAAATCGTGGGAGTTCGCTCATCCAGTGTATATGCATTTTGTTGACTGAGAGAAAGCCGATGATCAGATTCCCGCAACAATTTACGGGCGTGCCTGCGAACATATGGGAGAGATGGCCAGATGCTACGGGCCATTCAGTTACTGTATTCTGATAGCAGGTGCGGCGTCAGAGTAAATGGCGTTAAGTCGAAGCCTTTGGGCGTTGGTACTTGTCTCCGCCAAGGGGGCGTTCTGTCCCCTATCCTGTTTGTGTTGTACATGGGTAGAACAGTCAGGAGCAGCCAAAGCGATGAATATATGTAGAATATGTGGAGACGAGAAGGTTGCTGTTTGCTGACGACCTTGTTTTATTAGCATCCTCTGAAACTGATCTTCAGTGCTCCCTAGAAAGGTTCACAGCTGAGTGCGACGTGACCGGCATGCATGTGAATGCATCCAAAACAAAAAGCCTAGTTCTTTCCCGTTCTCCTGCCCGCTGCTTTCTTCAGATTAACGGAGAGGCAGTGAAGAAGGTGGAGAAGTTCAAGTACCTCGGAGTCATGTTTTCTGGTGATGGAAAATATGAGGAAGAGATCGACAAGAAAAGTGCAGTAGTCATTGGCGCTCAACGTGAACTAGCAAAACCGTTGTGACTAAAGCAGAGTTGAGTCAGAAGATTTAGCTGTCGGTGTTCAAGTCGATCTTCATCCCCACGCTTACTAACGACCATGAGTCGTGGGATGACCAATAAACGTCGATCCCGGGTACAGACGGATGAAATGTGCTTTCTGAGACGAGTCGTTGACTTTAGACACCTTGACATGGTCCGAAGTACAGAAATCTGCGAGAGCCTAGATGCACAACCGCTGCTTCTTCAGACTGAGAAGTCACATTTGCGACTGTTTGGGCACGTGTTGCAAATTCCTCTAGAAAGGAAGGCGAAACAGCCATTACTTGCTTAAGCGATCGATCGGAGTTGGGGATGGCCAAAAATGACCTGTGGCAAATATCTCGACAGACTCTGCTGCAGGCATACTTCTGTTAAAGATGAAAAGCTGGCAGGATCAGAAGTGTCGAAGAATCTGCCTGACACA